GACTAACATGAGGAGTATGATGCCCAATTTGCTTGATATCGGGCGAAAAAATATATGTAAGCTATATCCACATATTAAGCGATTTCAAACAAACCTGTCACAGGTTAGGTTATACTAACTTTAGAACGTTTTGTTCCTATTGGTTCCTTGGTGCGTCAATTACATAAAATCAATCTATAATAAAATGGAGCTATATCTAAATCTGGACCGATTTTCACGAAACAAGGCAGACATCACTCTAGGCTCAATTCAGTACGTTATGCCAAATTTCGTGCAAATCGAAAGATATATAGCGACTTTGGTGAACCATTTACATGAAATCGGACGAAACTATATGTGGGAGCTATATAGAAATATGGACCGATTTTATCGAAACTTGGCAGACATCACTCTAGGCTCAATTCAGTACGTTGTGCAAAATTTCGGGCAAATCGAAAGATATATATGGATGTTGGTGCACAATTTACATGAAATCGGACGAAACTATATATGGGAGCTATATCTAAATCTGGACTGATTTTCACGAAACTTGGCAGACATAACTCTAGGCTCAATTCAGTACTTTATGCCAAATTTCGTGCAAATCGAAAGATATATATGGATTTTGGTCACAATTTACATGAAATCGGACGAAACTATATATGGTAGCTATATCTAAATCTTGACCGATTTTCACGGAGCTTGGCAGACATCATTCTAGACCTAAATGATTAGGCTGTACCAAATTTCGTGCTAATCGAAAGATATATAGGGACTTTGGGGCCCCATTTACATTAAATCGGACGAAACTATATATGTGAGCTATATCTAAATCGGGACCGATTTTCATGAAACTTGGCAGACATCATTCTAGGCCCAATTAAGTACGTCATGCCAAATTTCGTGCAAATCGAAGGATATATAGGGACTTTGGGGCACCATTTACATGAAATCGGACGAAACTATATATGGGAGCTATATCTAAATCTGGACCGATTTTCTTGAAACTGGGCAGACACCATTCTAGACTCAATTCAGTACGTTATGCCAAATTTCGTGCAAATCGAAAGATATATAGAGACTTTGGGGCACCATTTACATGAAATCGGACGAAACTATATATGGGAGCTATATCTAAATCTGGACCGATTTTCACGAAACTTGGCAGACATCACTCTAGGCTTAATTCAGTACGGTATGCCAAATTTCGTGCAAATCAAAAGATATATAGGGACTTTGGGGCACCATTTACATGAAATCGGACGAAACTATATATGGGAGCTATATCTAAATCTGGACCGATTTTCACGAAACTTGGCAGACATCATTCTAGACCTAAATGATTAGGCTGTACTAAATTTCGTGCAAATCGAAAGTTATATAGGGACTGTTTACATTAAATCGGATAAATATATATATGGGAGCTATATCTAAATCTGAACCGATTTTTCCCAATTTCAATAGGGTTCGCCCTTGGGCCAAATAAGTGACCTATGCCAAATTTCATCCAATTCGGATCATAAATGCGACCTGTACTTTGTTTACAATTTAACATGGACAGACGGACGGACAGACGGACGGACAGACGGATATGCGTAAATCGACTCAGAAAGTGATTCTATGCATATTCTCAAAAGGAACCATGGGTCTATCTCGATTATTTTTGCCTGTTACAAACATATGCACAAAGACATAATACCCTGCACCACAGTGTGGTGAAGGGTATAAAAATTCTTTGAAAAATCTACGCCTATAGTCTCCAATAAAAAAAATTCCTTGAAAAATCCACGCCTACAGTCTCCAAAAAATATTTTTTTAAAAAATCCACGCCTATGGTCTCCAAAAAAATATTCTTTGAAAAATCCACGCCTATAGTCGCCGAGAAAATATTCTTTGAAAATCCACGCCTATAGTCTCCAAAAAATTATTCTTTAAAAAATCCAGGCCTATAGTCTCCAAAAAAAAATATTCTTTGAAAAATCCACGCCTATAGTCTCCAAAAAATATTCTTTAAAAAATCCACGCCTATAGTCTCCAAAAAAATATTCTTTGAAAAATCCACGCCTATAGTCTCCAAAAAAATATTCTTTGAAAAATCCACGCCTATAGTCTCCAAAAAAATATTCTTTGAAAAATCCATGCCTGTACTCTCCAAAAAAATATTCTTTGAAAAATCCACGCCTATAGTCTCCAATAAATATTCTTTGAAAAATCCACGCCTATAGTCTCCAAAAAAATATTCTTTGAAAAATCCACGCCTATAGTCTCCAAAAAAATATTCTTTGAAGAATCCATGCCTGTACTCTCCAAAAAAATATTCTTTGAAAAATCCACGCCTATAGTCTCTAAAAAAATTTTCTTTGAAAAATCCACACCTATAGTCTCCAAAAAAATTTTTTTTTGAATAATCCACGCCTATAGTCTCAAAAAAAAAAAATATTCTTTGAAAAATCCACGCCTATAGTCTCCAAAAAATATTCATTGAAAAATCCACGCCTATAGTCTCCAAAAAAATATTCTTTGAAAAATTCACGCCTATAGTATCCAAAAAAATATTCTTGAAAAATCCACGCCTATAGTATCCATAAAAAATATTCTTTGAAAAATCCAAGCCTTGATAGCTACTCGAAGAAAACACGATTCTTTAAAAAATGTATTTTTTGTAATCCTCTGATTCGTTCCGTACGACAATTTTATATTTAACATATAGATATATATTTTTTCTACATAAAAATATTGACTCATTATATCTTTATTGTATAGCATAATTATATCAAACGGTACAAGAAGTTGTTGTTCCCCTTTCCAGTGCCTTGATCCATGGGGGTCTTTACATATCAAATATTATCTAATATTTGTCAAACGTTTATAAACGTTTACTCACGTGTCAGATAAAATGATGACTCAAATAAACGTTTAACTACTGTAAAAGTTTATAAACGTACACAGTGTTTTGGAATCTGGCTACGTTGTTGTAACGCAAAAAGTGAGCGAAAGAGATACATCAAACAAATCGAATCGTAATTCAGTATAAAAGCAACAAATGGAAATGAAACATCATCAGTTCTTTGTAAACGGTGGGTGTGTGAGAATCTAAGAGATAAGAAAATCAAGTGAAAATGTGTTCTATCGAAAATCCAATTTCCATGGAGGGTGAAGCCGACAATAGTCAAAAGTTGCTAGTAAAATGGCACAAGGCAATGAAAACGGCAACTGAAGCTCAAATTCTGCTGCAGGAAGTTATGTCAGAAATGAGTGGTCTTCTAAGCACGGAATGCCAATGTAGAAACGATAATAAGAAGCATAATATTGGTCAATATAACAATAAGAAGATTAAGCACAAATACAAAATAAATGAAAGTGATAGTAGTGCAACTAGTTCAAGTTATTGTGATAGTGAAATTGAAATTATATCCTGTCACAGGACAGCTCTAGATGAACATAAACGACAACAACATCACAGTGGTCATCATGGACGGCGAAATCGTTCTCATTCTCGTGGCCATGATCGTAAACGTGATCGCAGTCGTTCCCGGGGACGATCACGTGGTCACTCTAGAGGACATTCTAGGGGACGATCACGTGGCCATTCTAGAGACCACTCCAGAGGACGTTCTTGTGGATATTCAGCTACACGTAATTTTCCCAGTAGAAAATCCAGTCATTCCTGCACACATTCAATCGAAAATAGACTGCCAATGGCACTGACCATATAAAAATATCGTAGAGTCCTAAAATAATAAAAAAAAATTAAATCTCAAATATACCAAAAATAAAGTATTAAAATTAAAATAAAACCAGTGAGCGGAGCAGTATAGTCGGACGGGGCCGACCACACGATACCCTACACAACTACCACGAACTCTAACTTTCTGAGGATGTTTATTCCGAGTTTGAGTAATATTTCGTGATATTGGCCCCCTCTTGTCCGATTAGAGGTCAACAACACCTCTTCCTTACTTTTTTCGAATATTCAGTACAGTCCTTCTAATTACTTGTCCAGATTACCTTCACGGTGGGTTGTGTTGTGATTTTCGGATTATACTCTACTCGAAAACACACAAAAAATTATGTTTTCGGTCCATTTCATCCCAAAATTTTAATCTGATCATCACCGAAAATTGTAGGCGTTGTTCTTGACCATAACTAGAACTTCATGAAAAATTTCAAAGCCATCAGCGCTATATTTCTCCCTCTAATGTGGTAATGGGTTACTAAATAATATCTGAATACGTAAGCACCTGTAAATATTTGACTGTAACTCCCACATCTGAGTAGATACATCACTATATTTGGTATCAATTTAAAGGCCAACCACTCCTCTTGGATATGCTATCAACTCCTGGGGTCTACATCCTCCAGGAGTAAATATATATGCCATAGAATACAAATTTTGTCATTTTTCACACAAAAGTCAGGGTCCATTTGACCCGCTAAACATTGACCGATCTTTATCAAAACATGCATGCTTATTCTCTGGCCCGATCCCCTTCTCCATGCAAAAATTCGCGGTGTTTGGGCCATAATTGCGGCCTCTGAAAAACCGACAAAAATTTAGTATTTGGTCCATTTCATCCCCTAAATATTAACCGATCTTTTCCAAAAACAATAGGGGTCTTCATTGGCCAGAACCCATCCTACATGCAAAATTTCGTGAAGATTGGTCCATAACTGTGGCCTGTATCGTGTTTACAAATTATAATGGACAGACGGACGGACGGACGGACACACATGTCTAGATCGACTCAGCTAGTCGAGATATGACGATCGGTATACTTAAAGGTGGGTCTAGGACCAATATTTCGCGGCGTTGCAAACATTTGGGGCTGCACAAAGCTATAATACCCTGACAACATAGTTGTGTAGGGTATAAAAATAAAAAATATTTAACAATAAAAATATATATTTGTTTTATTTGAAGTAAACAGTGGTTATGAGCTAAATTCCAATCGGAATTAGTGAATTGGTGCTGTTAGCAAATGTAACAGCAGTGTGAAATTCGTAACCACAAAAAAGTAGGATAATTCTAAAACATGATGAAGGATGATGATTTTTAAAAAAATCCACGCCTTGATACTCATTTTTTTTCTTTTCACGCCTTAATACTCAACCAGTAAGGAAAGTAGTAAAGTCGGACTGGGCCGACTATATGATACCCTTCACCACTTTGGGTATATTATACATATGTATCCTAAAAGACATCGCTTTTTCGAAGGAGCATTGACATGAAATGGAAAGAACTTAAACATGTGATATTTATCTATATCTAAACCGACTTCTTGAACCGATGCTAAATCTTGTAAATCGATTTAAAGCAAAAAACAAATTTAATGTCAATTAGACACCCATATATCTATATCTGAACCGATTTCAAGGAAACTTCCCGGAGATTAATTTATATTAACTTCAGTACGTTGTGTCAATCGGCCTAGCTATGGATCTTTAGTGCACCATTTATTTACTTAAAATCGGACGAAACTATATATAGGAGGTGTATGTAAATCAAAACCGATTTTCACGAAACTTTGCACACATCATTCTAGACTTAATTCAGTACGCTATACAAAACTCAAATGATATATGGGGAACCATTTGCATAAAATCGGACGAAAATATATCTAAATCTGTATCGATTTTCACGAAACTTTGCACAAAATACGTGCAAAGAAAAATATTTACAGGGACTTTGGTGTACCATTTACCTAAAATCGGGCGAAACTATATATGGGAGCTATATTTAAATCTGAACCGATTTTCACGAAACTTGGCACACGGCATTCTAGACTTAATTTAGTACGCTATGGCAAAATATGTGCAAATCTAATGATTTTCAGGGACTTTAGTGCACCATTTATCTAAAATCGGGCGAAACTATACATAGAAGCTATATCTAAATCTGAACCGATTTTCACGAAACTTAGCACACGTCATTCTAGACTTTATTCAGTAAGCTATGCCAAAATTCGTGCAAATCTAATGATTTTCAGGGACTTTGGTGCACCATTTACCTAAAATCGGGCGAAACTATATATGGGAGCTATACCGAAATCTGAACCGATTTTCACGAAACTTACCAGACATAATTTTAGACTTAATTCAGTACGCTATGCCAAAATTCGTGCAAATCTAATGCTTTTCAGGGACTTTGGTGCACTTACTTACTTAGCTGGCTTGTTACAGAACGGTTGTTCCATAATCCGAACTTTAAAAAGATTTCCAAGCGCGTCGGTCTTGTGCGCAAGTCCACCAATTTGGAAGACCACGTTCCAAGATGTTGTTTTCTACTTGGTCTTTCCATCAAAATCGTGGCCTTCCCTTCTACGGGAACCATCAGTAGGCTCATTTGTATATGCCTTTTGAGCTGGGGCATCTTCATTCATCCGCAACATCCTAGCCACCGTAGTCGCTGCAGCTCAATACGACTGACTATGTCCATGTCCGCGTATAAATTGTAAAGCTCGTGGTTCATTCGACGCCGAAATTCACCGTCGACGCAGATCGGCCCGCAGATCTTTCGGAGAAGTTTTCTCTCAAACACCCATGCTTCTGATCCATATAATAGCACGGGTAGTATCAGCGTCTTGTAAAGTGTGAGTTTGGTCTGGCGAGAGGTGGCCTTGTTTCTAAACTGCTTACTTATATCATAGTAGCATCTGTTGGCCATCACAATCCTTCTCCGAATTTCAAAACTGATGTCATTCGTTTTATTTATGGCGGTACCAAGGTATATAAAGTCTTTAACTACCTCGAAGCTGTAGTTCTCAAGTTCCACAGTTGGTCCGTTGATACCATCAGCTTGGTCTTCTCGTCGTTTACTGCCAGACCCACTTTGGCAGACTCCTTTTCAATTTGTTCAAAGGTGGCTGTTACCGCTCGCAATGTTCTACCCATTATATCGATGTCATCGGCGTAGGCGAGTAACTTGTGTTGTTTGGGGTACAGAGTGCCATTTCTGTTCACCTTTGCTTCTTGTCACACGACAAACTGTCACCTTGTCTGAATCCTCGTTCGGTATTGAAGGGCTCCGATAGGTCCTTCCCTACTTTAACGGTTGACCTTGTGCCACTTAAAGTTATTCTGCATAGCCGTATTAATTTTGCAGGAATGGGCTGTCGAATGCGGCTTTATAGTCGACAAATAGGTGGTATGTGTCGATGTGTTTTTCGTGGGTCTTTTCCAGGATTTGGCGCAGAGTGAAAATCTGGTCAATGGTGGATTTGCCAGGTCTGAAGCCGCATTGGTATGGTCCGATGATGTCATTGACCATTGGCTTTAATCGTTCACACAGCACACTGGATAGCACTTTATATGCGATGGGAAGGAGACTTATTCCTCTATAGTTGGCACATATCGTCTTGTCTCCTTTTTTATGCACGGGACACAGGATGCTGAGGTTCCAATCATTGGGCATGCATTCATTTAGCCAAATTGTGCTAATCAGCTGGTGCATGCTCCTGACCAGCATCTGGCCACCAGTCTTGAATAGTTCGGCTGGTAACCCATCGGCTCCTGCTGCTTTGTTGTTCTTGAGCCGATTAATCGCTTTTATGACCTCATCTTGGCTACCACCTAGCCACACTCTATAGCATCATCTCTAATTGGTTCTGGAGTATCTTCTTCATCGCCACTATTTGATACTAGAAGCTTTTCGAAATGCTCCTTCCAGATCCTCAACACGCTGTCTGTATCTGTCACCAGGTTTCCTTCTTCATCTCTACAGGAGGATGTGCCTGCACCAAAGCCTTCGGTTTGGTGTTTTACTCGTTGGTAAAATTTCCGGACTTCATTCTGACTACTGTACTTCTCAATTTGCTCACGCTCACGTTTTTTCTTGTTCTTTCTTCTTTTTTCTGAAAACACGTTTCTCCTCTCTCCTTTTCTCCCGATAATTCTCCATCACGTTAGTGTTGCTACTGTCTACAGGGTTGCCCTATACACTGCGTTTCTTGGTGGTGGTTTTTGGTACCCAATTGTTCTTTTTGCTGCAGTTTGTAGGGAGTAGGCAATTCTTTGCCATTGTGCTTCTATACTATCATCGGGACAAGAAGTGCTTTCTTCAAGCAGATGGGTAAGTTGAGCGGAGTAGGCCTCGGCTACGTGTTGTGTTTGCAGCTTTTCGACGTCGAGTTTTCGTGTTGTGTAGCTGCAACATTAAGACGGGTGCGTACCTTGGCTGCCACAAGGTAATGGTCCGAATCGATATTCGCTCCTCGGATCGATCGGACGTCTAAAACACTGGATGAATGCCTTCCGTCTATCACAACATGATCAATTTGATTTGCATTAAAATCTCCTAGCAGAATTTTAATGTCATGGCCACGCAACGGTCATATGCTGTTTCTAGGCGCTCGTAAAATATGTCTTTGGTCACATATTTATTTCATCCAATTTCATGTTAATAGTACTGTGAAGGGTGGTGAAGGGTATCATATAGTCGGTCCCGTCCGACTTTACAACTTTCCTTACTGTTTTTTTTTTTTATACCCTCCACCATAGTATGGAGGGTATATTAGTTTTGTTTTTCCGTTTGTAACGCATCGAAATAATCATTTCCGACCCTATAAAGTATATATATTCTTGATCAGCGTAAAATTCTATGACGATCTAAGCATGTCCGTCTGTCCGTCTGTCCGTCTGTCCGTCTGTCCGTCTGTCTGTCTGTCTGTCCGTCTGTCTGTCTAAACGAATTGAGATAGATCGCCAAAATTTTGCATAG